TGATAGGGCCAATGGGGCAAGTGTCCCTTACCCAAGGGGTTGTTACCACCCTTGGGAGCTTATCCCCAACGAGCTACCATTGATTGTGTGGAAGCTCTTACTTGCTGCGATAGAGGTACATCGGCCAAAGGCATTTGGTCATTTGTCCATGTAGTATATGCCATGGTAAACGCCTTTGCGAACCTGCTCGTAACCAAGGTCACGGGGTGCTGATCTCCCACACCTTAGAGGCGAACAGTCAACTAGGGGTCTAACCTCTTCCGCTCCTTGAGTCTTTGTCTACTTCATAATGCCGCACCGATGTGCACTCCTTTGAACATTCGCCTTCTCAACTTCCATGCAACACAGCTAGCACAAAACGACCTTGGCATCATAATCTCCTAACAGCACATTCGGCACTACCCCCAATGGGTAATAAATGACAGGATCTGTCAGGCCTGTTCAAAGTCTCCGTACCCACACGACACTCCCCCTACCCTTCTCCGCCATCAAGAGGTGATGCCTATCCCATCACATGCCAGAGCTAGGCCAAGCCCGAGGAACCTCGCATACTGCACGTTCGAGGAATGTGCCCAAGCCTCTCACTCACCATCACGCCCAGGACACCCACCTCCAAAGTTATTCACCCTGGCAAGAAGATATGGAATAATCCAGTAATCAGACAAGACACACTCGCACCAATAATCAGGGATGTCTTCCCAACACAGCTCGCATGCCACATGACAATAATCGCAATGCGGAACACTTCACTTCCTCGTACACATGGCATACAAGTTCATAACTTCATACAACCTCCACGACAAAGTCTGATAAGCTCTAATCCATTAAATTCACATAAACAAGCATCCCTGCATGGACATGTGGACAAACAACATTGAACAGACAGGACAGACAACAGTCACTCCACAGTCCATACATGCCACAATCCAAAGTCACAAATTCTCACAGCCTGTTCGCGAGGCAACAGTGTGTAGGCCACTTCACCGAGGCATCCCACTAAATCACCCGTCGCTTAATTGCGCACAACTCCACACACTCCTTCACCCACTGGTCAAACTGATAGCATCTCCCTTTTTCGCGCAAGCTCTCCTGATCAGAGAACTTCACCTCCAACACCTCAGGCGCTTACTCGCAAGGCAGCGCTGTTCCACCCAGCGCTCGCCCAAGCACCATGACTCCCAAACTTCACGAGTGCAAATAAGGAGCTCTAGACTCTATTCCTAGATATACCGGACTTCTGCCTCCTTGGGCGGTGACTTTCCAGGCTGCACAGCTTCCCAAGCAGACTCCCCTCCTGCAGGTTCTAGACTTGGGCTACTTGGAATGGTACCTTCTCTTCTACGTCTATCGGACTCTCAATTCACTTCGGCATCTAAAGGTACTAACTATTTGTCTTCTCCTGCCTACCTACCCCAAACTTCATGGGTGCAAATGAGGAGCTCTCGACTCTATTCCTAGATATACCGGACTTCTGCCTCCTTGGGCGGTGACTTTCCAGGCTGCACCGCCTCCCAAGCAGACTCCCCTCCTGCAGGTTCTAGACTCGGGTTACTTGGACCGGTACCTTCTCTTCTACGCCTACAGGACCCTCAATTCACTTTGGCATCTAAAGGTACTAACTATTTGTCTTCTCCTGCCTACCTACCCCATACTTGAGTGTTTCCCAACCTACACGGGCCTCGCCTACCTGTAATTCCCGCTGTGCCCTCACCAAACCATGGCCACAGGATGGTACCAAGTGTGGGGGCCTTCTCAGCATACAAATACCCTGGTGGGTCACACACATGCAAACAATCATGCAGTCAGGCAAACACACAGAAACTTAGCAATCATGCACACACACGTACTTAGAAAACTCAGCAGAATATGGGCAAGTCAGCAAGTCACTGAGTCCAACGACAAAATTTAGAAAACAGCAGATTTCTCAGTCTGTCATTTTGTAGGTCATTACAATGATGCATAGTAAATGTGTGCCAGTTTGGATTGCCCTCTTCTCTACCCCAGTATGCTAGCGCGTGTTTCTGTTGGGGTTCATTCAGTAAAATTGCCCAGTCTCCTGCAGACCACTGTCTGTCTTTTTTAAGTGTCACCATCCAGTCTTGTGGTATGGCTGCTATGATTTCTTGTAGATTCTGATTTAGTCTTATGGCTGCTATAGAAGAACCAGGTTCAGACTTTAGCAAGATCCTCAAAAACTCAACAGCGCAAGTTACAGTAAGGGAAGACAATCTAAGGAAGATAAGAGTTATAGAAAATGAGGAATTAACCCTDTATTGCCCCCAAATACCACYAGAAAACCTTGAAGTAGACCCAGCAGAATGGGCATGGAACATAAAGCAAGGAGCCTCAAGGATCAACACCAAATTCAACCTATTACATTACACAACTAGATTAGGCTACAGGCTGAGACGCCGTTCTGTGAACCCGGACCCAATAATAGCAGAAAGATGGAAAAGACACCTGGACGTAGAACCAGAAACACTTGACCCAATGCCATGGATCAAAATAGCATCTATTAACCTGCCCAAATTTAGAAGTCTACAATGGCTAATCTTGTACCTAGCTGTCCCACTGAACCAGTGGCTAAATACATGAAGGAAAAAAGATGACAAGAGTCCCCTCAAAGAGATACGTGCCAACTGTAGGGAGAATCAAATAGAAAACCTATATCACTGTTTCCTACACTGTCCCAGAATAAAACCACTATGGCAAAAGGTAGAAAGTATATGGAATGCAGTAACATGCACCACCCTCACAAACAACAACACACTCCTACTCTTAGGTTTCAACAACCCAGAAAACCGGGAGCCAATAGAAATCAATTTCTTCAGAATACTCAGAAAAGCTACACTATGGGTTATATGGCGGAAAAGATGCCAAGAAACAATAGAAGGACAAAAAATGCGCACGCAAGAAGCGTGGGGACTACTCCAACAACAGGTAGAAACCAAGTACTGGACCCTATGGCGCAAGGTATGAAGGAGAATGAAAGAAGACGAAGGCAAGGCAAAGGATCACCAATGCAAATTCGAAGAAAATTACCTAGCAAAAGGCAAAGTTGCCCTGATACACGGCTCAAGTATACTGTTTCGTCTTTGGGAGGAACCCCCACCAAGACACCAGTCGCAAGACTCTTCAGTAAACAGTATACCGGAGTCCCTCGAAATTAACATTTCCACAGACTAAACCGACGTTAGGCCAGCAACAGAAACCCACCATTCCAACCAACACCGAAGAATACGGCAGAAAAGCACAGACCTGGGACATGCAAAAGGTATAGGGGAGCAAGATAGCAATACAATAAAGGGGCGAAGGAAATAGATAGACCATAAAATTCTCACTCAAGGGTAGTTCATAAGACATCTAAGACCAGAGGTGGACACAACACGAGCAAGAGCCTAAGTAACAGCTCCAGCAAAAGGTTAATCTGACGGACGGTAGTGGATGCCCTCATATGCTGGCCCCCCGGTAAATCAATGCTTGCACATCAGGCAGAAATTTACTGATCCTGACAGCTCGGAGTTATGGGCAGTTTGCACCGAAGGGCGGTAGAGGATGTAGGGCACTGTTTGATGCTTTGTAAAGAGGCAACCGAATACTGGGCGAGAGCTTCAGCTCTCCGGCACTCCCTCTTCATGTTCCCTCCCCCGAACAACCCATTCAATTGCTCCTCCTGGCTAACATCCCCGAACYGGCAAGGAAGACAGAGAAAATCTGGTTCGATCCCACCAGGAAGTGACTCTGTGGGTCACATGAAGGGAAAAGATGCAGCAGAACATTTGAAGGGCGGTCCAACCCACGAGAGAAGGTGTTGACAGAGACCAAAGCTACGATTCAAGCGAAGACCCCCTGCAGAGGTCAGAAGATGAACGGGAAAGGGAAAGACAGAAATTCTATAGAAGCTGGCTGGTAAATGGCAAGGTGCAGAACTGCGGCAGGATCGAATATGCCGGAAAGACTGGCATAATCCAATTCCAGAAAAAGGCGTTCTACAGCAGGCAACGT